TGGTTGTGCACAAATGGGGTGTAGATGGGATTGGCAACACTAAGTTCAGCATTGAATTTAAGGAATATTTTCCTGTTTGTCAAGAAATCTGGAAACTTCGATTATGTCTAGTTCAAAATCCAAAACATCCGGACTGGTCAAGCATGCACTGCAAAGGTCATTTTCCTACATCATAAATCAAGTGGATTCTCAACAATGATCTTCCTATCTTTGATTTGTTTTCTGCTGCAAGAAATGTGAGCCTAAAAACTTTTCTATTCAGTTACAAGACTGGAGACCACAAAGCAATAACGCAATGATTTTCCAGCTCAGTGATCCAGTTCCTCTCACCAATAATAGATAACCGATTTTTTTACGACATCAAGAGCAACTTTTCACTGTAGATATCTTGAAAGACCAAGATTCTTCAGTATTATAAAAAAGTCGTGCACTGCAGACTTTAACGCTATCAAAGCTGGCTTTGTTTGCAAAAAATATGCATTTTAAACAGAGACTAAGAAATTATGTCTACCTAAAACCAGTTCATGAACAGTCCATCAACTCTTCAAGGAGAGCAGAACAATCCCTCTGGGAAAAAGAGAGAAAACATGTTATTTCGGTTTAACTGGAATGACCTTAAACTGGTCAAAGCTGCCTGTTCAGGAACACAGTGATCATGTGAAGCGTAGCGCAAATCAGTCAACTTTACTCCTCTTTTTCAATGTAAGCCTCAACGATGGGGAAAAGCTCAACTTGACACTTCTAATGCAAATATTTTAAGCATGAATAAGGCATCACAATTTTTAATTCAATATTAAACTTTACAAACTTAGGAAAGTGGACACCAATTGGCTCTATCATTAAAATCAAGTGAAATTTTTCCCATCGCGCTAAAGATGCTTTAAACTCCTTTCCACCGTCTGCAGAAACTGGGTGAGTGAGTGAGAGCTTCATGGTGTCGCACTCCAAAAATGCTAATAATGTGGTTCCTTGTTATCACAAACTCTGTGGGCGGAAAAAAAACTGCGTTTATTCAAGTGCAGTCTCAGTCATAATACGTTTTTTCACTGACCTGAGGGGAGTGTCGATTTATCCAAGCTACTGTTGTCTAAAACTTTACTTCTACTTCTCCAGATGAAGACAGAAACACAGATGACACCTAACAGCTCATATAAGATATTACATGATGCCTATTGTTCAGAGTGAAAAAAAATTAATCATAAGACTTAAGAACAAGTAATTGGCACAGTGATGTTTAAATGTTGGCTGTTACACATAATCAGATTGAAATGTTAATCAGAATATGTTCTTCAATGACATTTATGTTCTTGACTGACCCAAAAGATTCAGATTTTTCTAAGAAAACACTTCTTGTTACAAGTTTGTGAAAAGGCTACACATTTTTTTTTTTACCAAAATGTATTTTAAGGGAATCAATCCCAGAATCTTAATGACATGCTACATTCATATTGGATGCATTTTTTTGCAAGTCTTTCATTCAATCAGTGTGAGCGACACAATTGTCTGATACAAAAAGACAATGAATGGATATTTGTTTGACCAAGCTGTCAGAAATTCTTGGGGATTTAAGCTCCTGTGTTTGTTGGGTTTTTTTTTTAACTCATATGTGGCATGATCTATGGTGGTTGAATGGTGAGGAAGGACGCAGGCAGACCCAGGATGAAGTGATGAATGATTTAATGAAAGTCCAACAGAGGCGGCACAGGGAAACTGGCTGGTACACACGACGAGGATCCGGCAAGAGACAAAGACAACAGGTGGGACTAAATACACTGGGAGGGTAATCAAAGAAATGAGACACAGCTGGGAAAAAATCAACAGGGAAGGGAGAGACTCACAGGGGAACAGGCTAATAAACACAGAAAAACCTCAAAATAAATACACAGAAAACACAGATCACAACAATAAGCATGTATTTTTCACCACTGGCTAGAATAGCTTATAATTTACTTTAAATGTAAATTTTTCTATCCTTTAAAAAAAGGCATTTAATTCAAGAAAAACCCTTTCTGGAGAATTGTGAAACTTTATAAATAACATTGCTAAAAATCATGACTCTTTGGACGGAAACTACTGTTTTTAACAGTTCTACTGTGCCTTCATTTTGTTTTATTCAGTCATATTTTTGCAAAGTAACTCATCCACATTTATGTTTTGCAGTATGGTTAATTTCCTTTTGATTACATTTAGTTTCCTTTGCTATGCTTCTAAAATCTCATTTTTTGTGTTTTGCTCTTGGAGTTGTGGCGTCTCTTGTTGTTCCAAAGTGTTTTCTCTAGATGTCCTCAGTCGCTCTTATCTTGCCTCCAGATCACGTGTCTTTTAATTCCTCAGTGCTTTCTAAACACACCAGTTCTCTCCTTTGCTCAGACAGCAGGCTGAGCCAGTTCATCAGCTTCTTGTTCCTTCACGGTTCCTTTGGAATGTTTTTTTCTAAAGTGAAAACGCTTTTAAAGACATCTCTGGAGAAGGCGTAGTCTTAAAGAAGCAAAATGTGCTTCCTTTAAGACTAAAGGAAGCACAGAATTAGTGTTTAACGTTCATCTAATTGCTAAGCTCCGTTAATGGAGCTAAACATAAGAGAAATAAAACAAACCCCTATCATGATAATATTCCATATTGCTACATGGCTGGTGAACTGGATTTTTTCCTTTCTTTTTGCTGCTGACTTTCATCCACTTCTTCCAGTAAAGATCAAGAATACTGATTTATTTTCATTCCACGTTCTTACTGTGTGATGATCCTTCTACTTGGCTCTCGTAGGGTGTATTTTGCTCTGAACAGTTAAGTTTGTGGCTCTTGTCAAAGAACGTCATTTTAAGCCAGTTCAGTGAACATCTTGCAGGGGAGCTGGTGTCTTTCTCCAGCGGTCATTGGGCGAGAGGCGGCAGCAACCTACATGGTTCACCATGTGACATCACTACCCGCATAACATAGAGGTTATGTTATGTTTAACGTTCATCTGATTACGTGGAAAAAATGTTTGAAATACTTGTTCTTGTCTAGGTTCATCATCATTTTGAAGTATAAAGTCAGAAAGATCTGTAGAAACAAGAGACCCACTGGTTTGGCTTCTTTCACCTCAACAGTCAGGAAATACATCATTAATGTTTTCCAGAGAATCAAGATATTCCTGTCAGCCAGGAGTGGGTACCTTAACATGTGGGCAGGCTGGCAGCGCCGTTAAGTTGCCAAACAGGAAGTCCAAGTGTTGATTTTCTTTTTATTTGCAGTCCAGGATCCTTCCAGAGACGCAGCACTGTGAAAGGAAGAACGTATCAGTAAGTACTATGCATTTTATTCTGCCACAATGGAAGTATTTTTTATAAGGAATTAGTAAGAATTCGCAGTAATTTAGAAAATACACTAAAATTAGATTTCACTCAGCTGACTAACCGGTGGGAATTTTGCATATAAAGTAACGAGAACAGACAGAAACTGCTGAGTTGGTCAGAAGAGACAAATGGCTGAAACATTCTGCATAACTATCCTGCATAGTAACAGAAACCAATATTTAAATTTATTGCAGCTGCATTCAAATGAAACAACTCAGACAGTGGAATACAAACTTTCAGCTTTAATTCAGTTAGCTGAACAAAAACATGGCATAAAATGCAAAACGATTTTTTTAGTTAGTTTTTTAAACAATCTGTTTATTTCAGGGACTCAAAACTGGATCAACAAATGAAAACAACTTTTAAAAATGTTGGTTCCTGCACTTGGTAGAAAACCCTTTGCTTGGACTGACAACCTGAAAACCTGAACTCATGGACATCACCAGAAACGAGGATTTCTCCTTTCCTCTTGTCATTATTATTTCAGAGATTGACCTTAAATGACTTTTAATGGACGCACCAAACTGTAGGAGCCACTCCTGATATGCTAGTGATTTCTTGGATGAGGTTTTGTTGTTATTTTTTGCAGCATTTGTATGGCCCCCTTTGACTGCATGATGACTGCTCACAGAAAAAAGTTTCAAATCAACTGGAGGATTTGTGTTCAGATAAGAATGGGAAGTAGCCGAGTAAAAGTGCAAATAGAGGGAAATAAAGGGATAAGAAACAGCTGGGAAGAGGAGTAAGCGTGGTAGTAAGTGGAGGACTTGAAGATTATGTTCATAAATGTGACATATGAGGCTCATATGGGTTGCATGTATTTGGGATCGATTAATATTGTATAGTGTGACCAGTTTGACCGGAGTAATTTAAAAAAGAACGTCAGCCATGAAGAGCATTACTTTGTCTTAAACTTGCTTGATAATTAAATCCACAAAAGTCAGTAAAATGTTGTTTGGAGTTAAATTTTGTATATTTATCAGAACAATTTTATAGAAATTCTCATTACGAAGCAGAAAATATGTTATTTAACTTAGGAGCATTTATGTTGATCTCTTTTTGGTAGAGTGGTACTGTTGTGACCAAGTATTTCTGTTTACATCCGTGTTTTTGGTGCTGAAACAGCCACTGAATGGTTCAGATACTTTTCCGCGGCTTAGCAGTTCTTTGAAAAACCAGAGCTGTTTGCATACATGTAAATAAAGTTGCTCCTACTTAAACCAAGAGTCTCTGGAGCCCCTCACAAAGTCAGCCGGGTCCAATCCTACCAGGTCACCCTGCTGCCTTGGAGAAGTACAGCAGTGAGCGATGGTGCATTCCTGCATTGTTACCTCAGGAGGTTTGGTCAAAAGCTACACAGCAGGTTTAATGAATGACTGAAAAAAAAAACTGAATAAAGGGAGGGACACATGTAAATAGAGTTTGAAATGACAGTCTACACTTCCTGTTCTACCCTGTCCACTATGTCAGCGTAGAGGACAGAGGAGCAGAGGAGAGCTGACAATACAGTGACTCCACGATAAACAGTACTGAGGTCTGCCGGTTGTAAAAGAGGAAGTTAAATATTTGTTTTCCATTGCTAGCAACAAGAATCCTGCTGCTGCTGCAAAAACCTGTCAACCTTTTCCCTGCTACGTCTAACTGTGCTCGTTTTCTTCTTTACAGCAACCCAGACGCATCCATGCAGAACTTGGTGATCGTCTCCATCTTTTTCATCCTGATTGCCCTGGGGCTGCTCATGGTCATCATAGGCCAATACAGCGAGATTGAGATAATAGGCAGGAAGAACGAAGAGCTGAAGACGGCCAAACTTGAGTTTTATAACAAGCTTCAATATGAAATCAATTTTAAGAAGTCGTTGCAGGACATTAAAACAAATGGGGAACAGAGGTTGAAGGAAATGGAGGCTAACCAGCTCCAACTCACCAAGCAGCTGGAGGATAAGAAATCTGAGGCCGCCACCTGTCAGGACCAAATGGTAAAATGTTTTAAAATACATTTCTTTCTTCTTTATTTGTCTGTTTTTCTCCTTCCGAAAGATGCAAAAACGCATTTTTTCAAACACGTTTAGGTTAAAAGAAAAATTAAGAAATGCAGTTGATGGATTAGTGTTTGTGGATCATAACTCCTAATTATTCACAGGAAAGTCACCTCATTTTTTGGGGGGATATTTACATTAGCATGGAGGTTTGTACTAAACAGGTGGCAGTTCTGGCACAAATAGAGCCTGGTGCAAACTCTTCTATGACCTTCATGCCAAATGCAAACTTCTTGATTGCAGGTGTAAATAGTCAGTTATGGAAAATCTCACGAGAAAAACCTTATTGTTTTTCATGTCGCCCCCAACAAACTGCTGCCCTGGGTGGTGAGTCATATCACCCATATCTAACAGAATCACTGCAAAAATGGAACTTTAATTTAATTAAAATGAATTTACTTGCTACTTTTAGCTTTTTTATACATTTTTTTGTAGCATGGAGCTATGTGCAGTGCTTTATATCAGCTATAGTTGTTTTAAAAGTCTTTACAAATACAATAATTTCAGCAATAGCTTTTTTGTCACTATTCCAAGAAGACCAGACAGAAATAAAGAGTGAAGACTGGTAGTCGTCCTGTTGTCAGACTCCTCCGTCTGGAGCAGTGGAGTTCTTCACCTCTTCCTCTTGCCACATTTTCCTGAACATGTTTTTCTTCTTTAACCTGTCAGCTTAGTTCTTGGTAAATTTGCGTTTTTCTTTTCTTCTAATTAGATAACCCTGTGACACATTCACAGCTTAGACTGTTGTTTTACAAAATGCACAGTTTTAGGCAGTGGGAGGAAGTTGGAGTAACCTGAAACAACCAATGCACGCAGAAAGAAAATCCAGATTTGGGCTGAAAACCTGGATTTTCTTTCTTCGAGGCAACAGAAGAGACAACAGAAAGAGACCTTGATTTACAGCAACGGCGTTTTATCCTTTTATTTGTATCCCCTTCGTTTTCATAACGTCTCTTGCCTTATTAAAACTTTGCTGATTGGTAGAGGGTCCGATCAGCTTGTTAAGGCTAATGGCAAACAGGAGCGTGAAATATAAAACATTTTAAATAGTTTTCACCTCATCCTTGGTGTGCCTTTTAACATTTCCTTTTTCCTGGTGCAATCTTTCTAAATGCAAATAGCTTCATGCATATATTGTAGTATCTGAAGTATCAGAAGATAATACAGCGAGGACCCAGCTGTAATCTAAATAAAATACAATGAAGCTTTTCTTTGTGTTTTGCATAACTGCATAACATTCTTCCTCCTGTGTTTATGGGTTGCTGAATGGACTCTTTTTTTTAAATAATTCTTTCCTTTATGTTTGTGGTTGGTTTGTGCCTACGCTGCCCCACACCAAATGTCACCACACCCTTCATGAAACAGGATCACAAGCCGCTCCAATGATGAGGTGTGGTGTCTCCATCGTTCAGCGCCTCTTCATCTTTATGCGGGCCGTGGAGCCGCTGCTGCTGGTCAGAGTCATCACATCCCACATGATCTGGGTTTTATGACTCCTTCAGTACTTCAAACATAACCTGAATTCATACAAGAGCCGTGGCATGAAAATGATTTACAGAATAAATAAGCGGAAGGAGTGTTAACCCCTGTAAGGCGAAACTGTTTGGTATTATATTTGTTCTCAGCCGCAGAAAATATAGCCGACTCGTAAATCAACAAATTAACACTTTAACCTTGTTAAATAGGAGTCAACATTCTCTCACACACATTGATAAATTTAGTGCAATCACCTTAAGCATGAAAACACCTGCAGCTAAAATCAGATATTTATATTTACACTATAAAACCCACACACAGCCTTATTTTATCCTCACTGTGTGACTCTGAGTCAGGATTAGAATATTTCTGTTTGTAAAATTCCACAATGACAGAGATGATTGTCTTAAAGTTTTCTTTTACAGCTTTCTTCAGACTCACAAGTTTACATACACCTCACCCCAAACATCTATTAAAGCTTGGATGATGATGTCATCGGGTTTATTTATTCACAGCATCTTGCCTTTGAGGAAGCACACTCGTGGATGTTTTTTGAATGTTTTAAATTAACCTCCGTGTTCCTGCGTGGAAAAGGGATTAAGGCTCGTTTAAATTTTTTCTGAAGGCAAATGTTCGTCCGTCTGCTTGCAACCTCAAACTGAAACGAACTAAGGTTCTGCAGCAGGACAATGATCCAAAACACACCAAACAAAACGAAGACCTTGTAGTGGCCTAGTCAAAGTCCTGACCTCAAACTTACTGAGTGAGGTGTTGTGGCATGACCTTGAAAATGCCATTCTGGAAAAGCTCATTGCAAGTTATCAAAAAGGGTGTGTTGCAGTTGTTGCTACTAAGTGTGGCAGAAACCATTTATTATTTTTCCACACATCTTTATTTAAAAACTGCATGTTGTGTTTGATCAATATTTAAATTGCTGTGATGTTCTGAAACATATAATATATATTCTAAAAAAAATGTACATGTAATGTCATTATTTCTCATTTCTCCCATGCAGAAAACAAAAAACGAGGAGCTGGCATCTATAGAGGAAGCGCTCAAAAGCACCACAGGTAGGAAGCACAGACACGCTGCACCTCTGCCACCATGTGGTCAAATGCAGGAATGACAGCTCAATTCTGACCCGCTTCCTTTCTTTCTCTTTTAAGCGACCTTCAATGCAGAGTCTGAAGCCTGGAAACAAGAGATCATCAGTCTGACAGCAAATCTATCAGCACGCAGCCCGATATGCAAATATGTGACAAATAACAAAAAACCTGTGTAAGACGCAATTTAACGAAACACATCAAACGTTTTCAGAGAATGTAGCTACACATTAAGAATAACAAATTGTTCTGCTTTTCAGGGAATTTTGTGCCACACCACCAATTCAAGCTCAAGAAAAGTTAAGCAGATAAAACTACAAACCCACATCGGTAACAAACTCCAAAAAACATTTTATACTTCAGAAATGGACCTTTATGATGATATGAACGTGTTTTTTACCATTACAATCTGCACTTAAAAATCTCAAAATGTTTTCTCTGCCTGAAAATTGAGCTAGTGTTTCGACTTGTAGTGTTTGTAAATCTCTATTATAAATAAATCTGTGCATTTCCAGTCTTTTGAAAATGGATGTTTTTAAGTCTAAGTTTGAACTGGTTTGTATCACATTGTAGGTCATGAAGTATGAATGCAGACAGGATGCAGGTAGTTAAGTAGGATGATTACAGAAAAACAGAACCCATACATACAGGCTGGTTATATTATGAAAGTAGTAAACAGCTGAATTCTGTAGGAAACATTTTTAAGAGGGAATTTGATTTGATTCTGATGTTTGACCAGGAATGGATCTAAGAGTATTTAGAGTTTCACGCTTTCATGTTTGACGCCCCTCAAAATACTACAAAGTATTTTATAAAACGTGTCATAAGGTTAATAATATGCAAAATCCATATTTTTGTTTTCTTTGTTTTCACATAAGGTTCACAGAAAAAGCAGTGCAACAAGTTTTTGCATTTGAGCCAGACACGCCGCTTCAGTAGAGACATCTTCAAAGCAAAACTGTTACACAATAATCTATAATCAATGATTCCGTTTGGCCACAGCAGCAGTCAAATAAACGTGACTAGTAAATCTGAACCCTGTATTTACTCTGAAAGGTCTCTTTAGATTGCGAAGAGCTTTAATAAATGGAGGATTTAGAATAAGAAGATAAAAAAGCATAAAGACTCAAACCCTACATCTGTTGTGTTGAGTCTACACTTTATTATGACTGATCCCACTCAGACACAACAACACACACTAGAGCAGACATAATGTGGGGGATCTCTAAACCATAATGCATGTGTTTCCTTGGTAGATTTCAGAAAATATACTTTCTTGTTTCTAAGAAAATTTAAATGAAGAAATTTATTGGGATCACTGTAGAAAAATTAAACCTGAAGATTATGTTTGTTGCTATAATAAAAACAAACATAATCTGCTCAGGATGTTACTTAAGGTTCAAATAAGGACACTAAATACCATCATATGTCTATTTTTCTTGATGTCTCTTGTTTTTAAGTGGTGTTTGCACTAAACTGCTTGGAGTTTTTTGTATTTTTATACTTTTTTGAAATCACATGCAACTGTCATTTCTTCTTTTGACTTGTTTCAATATCTAATTGTTCTTGGTTAAAGGAAAATAAAATAAAATAAAAATGCAGATATAACAGCAAAATTACTAAAAAATAAACCAAACAGCCAGCTTCTCTTTGCTGCGTTCAAATACTTTAAAGTGTTCTGGTCTCTGAGTCTGTATTTGGATCCTTTAAATACACAAATCATGTGCTGTGCAATCATGTGCATTCATAGCATTAGTATTAACTAAATATGTAGGAAGCTAAATATTTAGTTTACAAACAAGATATTTAGTTCCCAATTAATTGTTTAAGTCTGAGCTACATTTTGTTAAAGATTAAACATTTAGTTAGCAAAGTAAATGTTTAACTTTGGTCTAAATATTTAGTTTGGAAGCTAAATATTTAGTTCAGAGTTAAACATTTAGTTTGGACCTAAAAATTTAGTTTGTAAGCAAAATATTTAGGGTCAATTTGAAAGGTAAACATTTAGTTTGCAAACGAAATGTTACACATTTAGTTTGAAACTGACATCACACGTCACCAGGAATAACACGGGGGAAATATGGTGCACTTAAATATTGCTGTTTTTGTTCATTTCGCAACATAAGACCACTTAGTGGGACTCTCCTCTTAAGAAGGGAGGGAGGAGGAGGGAGGGAGGAAGAGGGTTGAGTAGACGCGGCTGTGACAAAAAGCCGATTACAGAAGGCCACTGAGTCCTCTGTGGCAATTTGCATCCATCCTCTCCTGGTCATTCCAGAGGAAAACACATCCGCGGATCAAGTTTGTGGTTTTTCACGGAGCAGGATTAATTCATCAGAAAACGTTTTACAACTTTTCTATTATTTATACATATATAACTTTGAGGATTTCTCTTTTTTTGAGTGTTGTAGTTTTTTTTTTAAATTTATTTATTTTTTTAACTTGGACACAAAATACTAAATGGAAGTTTTAATAAACATTTAGATCTCAAGACAAGTTAAAGGAAAACTTTTAACTTTTTTGAGTTTCAAGTGAAAATCATACAGAAATGACCAGCCCTTCTAGGAGCATAGACGATCAGAGAGGAACCGCAGACAGTCCGGCTCACAAAGCGGAGACCCCCCGGTACCGCAGCTGGAGCAGCCTGCGCTTCTCCAGATGGAGGAGCAGCTCCCAGAGGACGACTCCTCCGAGCAGCCCCTCTCCAAAGACCGAAAAGAGAAGCGACATTTCCCGGACTCTCTTCACTCTGGTCAAGACCCACAATGACGACTACACGGCAGACCCGGACGGCACCCTGGACATGGGAGCAGAGGCCGAGGTCGGCCTGGAGGACCTGCTGCAGGATCAGTCCACGTACTTCCAGAAGCAGTTCGGCTCCATGCTGCAGCCCGGCGTCAACAAGTTCTCACTGCGCATGTTCGGCAGTCACAAGGGGGTCGCGGCAGAGCAGGAAAGGGTCAAGAGCTTTGGGGTGTGGATCATCCACCCCTACAGTGATTTCAGGTAATCTTCGGTTTAGGTGACCATGGAGGTCCTGATTCAAAATAGAAATATCATTTAAGTTTCTGTGTTGTTCAGAGGGGCAACATTATGGAAAATCTATGATGGCGTCTGTTAGGGCCTTTATTGATTAAAATAAAAGTACATTTCCGCCAAAAAGATTCACAAATTTGTAACCTAATAAATTTTCTAGGAAAAACAAAAACATTTATGAGTTTGAAACATTGAAAATTACTAGGGGGAAAAAAACTTACATTTTGAGCTTAATCTCAGAAGTTTTCTAGTAAAAACAAGGACATTTCTGAGTTTCAGTTTTCAAAGTCTTTTCAACTATTTAAGAAAAAAGTTTTCTAGAAAATTTCTGGTGGATTTTCTTGGAAATTTGCAATTGTTCAAACTCAGAAATTTAAAAATTTTTCTCTCAAAAATTTTTTCTCTCAAAAATTTATGAAATTAAAAAATGAAAGTTTTCTTGTGAATTTTCAACTTTTCAAACCTAGAAATGCCCTCGTTTTTTCTAGAGTATTTTAGAGATATATTTTTGGTGAAAATTTACTCCTTTTTTCCATCTACAACGGGTCTAATACAGTCTTGTAAAAATAGACTTTTTTCAGATTTACATCATGTTGTAATGTTATTTCTTCATCAAAAACATACCTGGAGTATTGTCTTGATTCTTTCATGCATGTTTGAGAAATCCTTTTAATATCCATGGCAACCATTCAGTTGTGCTAAACGACTGGGTGGACTTAGCTCCGCCTTCGAGGTGCAGCTCCTCCTCAGAGCTTCCACTTCACATAACTGCAGTCCTCTGCAATCCCCCCACTCAGCTCCTTCAGACTAGTCAGTAGCAATTAGCAAACACCTGGTGGAATTGTGTATCTGCAGAGCTCATTAGACGAGCTACTTCTCGGTGTAACACTGGTAAAAACGTTGTTAAAGTGATAATAGAGGAGCCATGTTCTGATGACTTCTTGAAGGTGGAGATTCAGAAAGAGACAGAAACCCAATTTGTTAAATTACAAAGTCAAATTTCTTTTAAGTGGTTTTTCATATATACCAAATTTTTCTTAACAACTGAAGGTAACATTATTTTTTTATTGTGCCATAAAATTATTCTATGTGGCTGGAAAATACATAGTATTACCTCTTTAAGGTCTCCAAATGTGTGATTTTTTTCTATAAACTTCCCTTGAAAGCAGCAAACGCAGCCAAACAAACAGATTGTGATGTCCAGTTCTCCAAGGACGTCAGCTGATGTCATGGTTTGTAGCACATGATAAGGCGATGAAGGGATTTCATTAATGATAAAGTATTTAGGGCAAGATCAACTGGATTAATCATGCAACTCTAACGTGACTCAATATTTTCCAGTTCATAAGATGAGGAGGACTCTCTTTCTTGACCCTCACCATTTTAACAGAACATTTGACCTTCACTTGCTTGTGTTCAGCCTCGGTTTGGGACAGTTTTGTTGAATCGTCACGCTTTTGGAGCACACCATCTTAATGGTGACCCCCGAGCAGCCTGGGCGTGAGGTCATAAATGATACCCGGCATCAGATTTAAACAATTTTTAACCATCAGGCCTTTGCCAGACAGGGAGGATAAACCGGTGCACAGGGATTAATGCCCATAAGAATCCCTATAATTCCCATCTTGCTCTATTATGCAATAATACACAGACAGCTGAGGGGGAGATTACAGAGAGCCTGCTCTCCTTAGACCTTATGGTCCAGCTTCCTCTTTATAATGGACCAGTTGGAACCGCCCCGCACTCGTTTACAGTTTAGGTTCACACAAGTTCCCCCAAAAGGAACCAAAAAAAGTTGGAAAGTTTGCAGACTGGCAAAAATATGAATACCTTTGGAACTTCTCCACATTTGATGCAAACTTCAGTGTATATTACCATAATTGTAAAACAGAAGAGAAATAACATGCTTTTTAATTTAAAAAATAATCTGAAGTGTAGTTTGACTTCTTCCACTTTAAATCTGATTCCAATTATTAAAATCTATTTCAATTAATCATCTTAAGAAGTTACCTTATTAGTAAATATAGTCCAATTGTGAGTAATTTAGTACAAATAATGAAGACAACACAGGCACCAGCAGAGAAGAATAGACGTTCAGAGCTGTGCTAGGATATAAAATAATGCCCCAACCCCTAAATATCTCACAGAGCACAATTTATATCAATGTGTTTGAATGGCCTAGTCAAAGTCTAGACCTGAAACAAACCAAGAATCAGTGGCAAATTCAAAAACTGTTTACTATTTTGCAAAGAATGTGCAAAAGTGGACAAGAAATATTTCAAGAGCTACAGAGAAAAAAAGTTACCTGGATGTATACATTTTTTCATTTAAAACATTTTTAAAACCATATTTAATTTTTAATAGGAGAAAACTAACTTTTCAGCAACATATGGGAGCTTGTTTAAAGTAAATAATTCCTTAATATTGATTAAAAAGTGTTAGTTTGACTGGGACATTATTCCAATTACAATATGGTAAAAATACCTTGTTACACTGATAGATTATTTTACAAATAACTAGTATTTTGTCATTAATATTAAGAAATTATAGACTTAAATCATGCTCCTATTTCTTGCCCAAATGTTGCTTGTGAGTTAGTTTTGTATTATCTTCAGCATACTAAGAAGCTAGACCAGAAATAAGTAAGATTTTGTGTTTTTGTAGTGTAAAATTCTAATAAAATATTTTGATATTTTAACTTATAATCTAACAAAATATGCATGCTCTTAATATATGCTGAGTATGGCAGATCAGTGCTGCATGTTTCTCAATATAAACCAGTCTAAAAGCTTTTTCTGCCGCTGAAACTACACTTGCACATTAATCTTGTATAAATGTGAACACGTGGACAGCTGTAAAACCCTTCAGAGTCATCGGTGGAGTTATTAGCAGCAGGAAGTAGCCACTAATCTGCTGGAGCATAAGTAGTCATGTAAACCAGCATGTTGACATGGAGGACACGACCAAAAGGGGATCGAAGGAGGAATGAATAGGAAGGAAAACAAAAATCTCATTAACTCGTTCTTTATCTCCTCTTGGTCTGCTTTAAGAGGAAGAATGCTGTAATCAAAATCAGTCCAGCTGATATTCAGTTATCGTCCCAGAGTAATTGAAAGAGCGACAGAAGGCCAGTAAAACAATCTGTGAGTGATGTAAACAATCTGTAAGGAAATCCAAACCGAGCCTTTGGTGCATAACGAGACACTGGAGACATACAGGCCAGTGGAATCGACATGAATGGAGAGTGAAGCCATAAGGTTCACTGCTCCACACAAATCACAAGGCAGACATTTCCACTGGGAGTGATACGCTCTTCTGCTCAATGCCTTGTTCAACATATACGGCAAGCAGTATTCATTTTTAATGGCAGGGGCTATTCTTGTGACAGAAACTATTCAGAGAATAATGAGATGGATGTCGTACCCTGGTAATTAGGTCAAACCATGAAGCTATTATTTAAAATTAACAAGTTTAACAGGTAAATTAAACCTTCTAAAAATCTGTTAACCAATGAAAGAATGTTTTTATCACAATTTGAGTTAATGTGAGAGAGCAAATCAACACAGAACGGACTCTGACCTTAACACACCGGCGTTTTAATGGTAGTTTCTTCCATTCTTAATACAGTACTAAGTGTTTCTAATCATGTTCTGCTAGGTTTTGTTTAGGGATGCACTTTTTTCACTTCCAATACCAATACAGATATCTGAGGTTTAGCATCGGCCGATACCGATTCTTCTCATTTTCTTATGTTGCCTGTTTTTATATTTTTTCCTTTCTTTGCTTCTATTTACCTTAACTTTCTGCCGACACACTTATATACTCTAAAATGTATGTCCATTCATTAATGGTGCAGTAGAGTATTTCAGGTACCTGTTTGGAAATGGTTCTTTAGAAAGTTCAACAAAGTGAGGAGATGTTACTCAAATATGTTTAAATTTGTAGTCTGTTGTTGTGGAATGAAGGAAATATGACACATGATGACGTTCTTGTATCGGAGACATGAAACCTTTTTAAAGACACAGTTCAGCCAATCATGCATATCGGAAAGACAGATCAGTTTTCCTACTTGCAGCAGCTGCAGAGTAACAATGACTTGATTCTTTGGATGAAGAATGACTGAGAGTTTACGAGGGTTTTTTTGTACATGTGTTTTCTATATCAAAGAGTTTAGGTAGAGAACTCTTTTGGGATTTATACCTTCATTAAAAAACTCTATTTAAAGTCAACAAAGAGTCCTTTCATAATTCATAGTCCATGAATATTAACCTAAACATTTACACAGTCTAGGTTTTGTAGGTAATCTCATCAGAGAACCACAGATCTAATTGGTCTCTCTTGTTTTGTGCAGGTTTTACTGGGATATTGTGATGCTTCTTCTGATGATGGGTAATCTGGTCATCCTGCCCTGGGGAATCACCTTCTTTGAAGACCAAAACACCCTGCCCTGGATCATCTTCAATTTCCTCTCCGACACCCTCTTCCTCATGGATCTAGTCTTCAACTTTCGTACCGGTATCCCGGGAGAGGACAGTCACATTATTCTGGACCCCAAAGAGATCCGCATGCATTATCTCCGCACCTGGTTCCTGGTAGACTTTGTTTCCTCCATCCCTGTTGATTACATTTTTCTAATTGTTGACCTGGAGTCCCGCCATGAGTCGTCTGATGTGTACAGGACGGCCCGTGCTCTGAGGATTGTGCGTTTCACCAAGATCCTCAGTCTGCTCCGTCTTCTCCGACTCTCACGTCTCATCCGATACATCCATCAGTGGGAAGAGGTAAAAGAATGGGACAGGAAGTAAAAATGCACCCTTGGTTTGTATAGTTTCCTCGGTTTTGAACGTCATTTTTTCAGCCACTCACTCAAGGACCCTTGTCACCCTTTCGCTTCTTTATTTACCTCATCGTCTGAGTGATTCTTATCTCTTGTCTGGAGCAGAGGTATCAAATTCATTTTCATTGTGGGTCTTATCAAGGGCCGGTTGTGCCAGAATGTATTGTTAAAAACCCATTATCAAAAGGTCAACTGTTGACTTGACCTTTCCTGTTTTATTCAGTTTCCTCTTGAGCTGTTGTACTAATTTTCTCCTTTCACTCCATGCTGTTATTTTTTATTTTTAAGCAGATATGAGGAGTGGTGGTGAAACCTTAAACTGCTGCTGCACAAGTTACTCAGCAGGTTGTTGCTAGGTAACCGAAGAATGAGTGAGTTGCTAGGTAACCATAGAGCGAGTCAGTCAGTTGATTCCACCAACTTTGCTTAGCTAGATGTGAGAGGTCTTTCCTCTGCCTACATCCCCCAGAATGCTGTTCAGTTCTGAGTCAGGTTCAGTGAAATTATTGAACATTTTATCTATTGATATTGATCGTGTGTGTCTCCCAATATATAGTGTTATTGATCACTTGCCCAGCCCTACTTAATCATAACCCAATGAGATTATAATAGTTGGCAAGATGATGCAACAAATCATTAACTCCATGGTCAGAGAGGTGAAAAGCACATACAGCTTCAACTTGATAGGACATACGAGACATTTCAGAGAAACTGGTGTGTAAGCATAAAAAATGACTTTGCTTGTTCACACAGACCAACCACATTCCCATTCACTAACTCCAATAACTCGTCTTCCACTGTATCTTGATTGTATCTTAATGACACCAAGGTGTGAATGGCTCAAATTGTGTTAGTTACAATGAGAAGAAAACAGATGCTCTTGTGTTCAGATCTAACCAACTGTACTTTAAGCTATCCGTGACCCATTTGGGTGTTTCTGCACTCACCTCTGCCAGTCTTCACTATCATAAAATTCACTGTATACCGGACTTAGTCACGCCTCACAATCATGTTTACAATAAGAAGAAAGTGTGGTTTCTGCCTGGAACTGTCACGTTCCAGCATACAACTCAGTTTCTCTCATGATACTTGTCTGTCTTGTTGTACCGCCCCAAGAACAAGGAACTTGAGTGTTTAGTGACAAAACTTTGTAAATGTTGTCTTACTATGTGAGACAGGCAACTTTGCCTTAAGTTTGTAAATTGATTTCCTTTTCCTGTTGTCTTTCAACACTGAATAAGCTGTTTTGTTATTATTTCCTCAATACACTTTATGTTCTAATCTGTTAATGTTATTTCTCCCTTTTAACTCACATCTATACTTTGTAATTTATATCTGTCTTGTTTTTGAAACGTTTTCTATAATAGCACTTGGACATCTTAATGACTTTAAATCAACTGAACTTGAACTTATTTAACATCTCCTGTGACAGATTTTCCACATGACTTATGACTTGGCCAGTGCTGTGGTGCGTATAGTCAACTTGATTGGTATGATGCTGCTGCTGTGCCACTGGGATGGCTGTCTGACCTTCATGGTTCCTATGCTGCAAGACTTTCCTCCGGACTGTTGGGTATCTAAAAACAACATGGTGGTGAGTCCAGGCTCTGCCTAAACATCTAACCTCAAATGATATATTCAATAATTGAATATTTACAACATAAATACAATCACAGCTAAATGAAATATTCTTCTCTTCAGAACGCCACCTGGCATATACAGTACTCCTACGCCCTGTTCATGGCCATGAGTCACATGTTATGTATAGGATACGGCGCTCACCCTCCAGAGGGCATGACCGATGTTTGGCTCACTATGATCAGCATGGTTGTTGGGGCCACCTGCTATGCCATGTTCCTGGGTCACGCAACTAACCTGGTCCAATCTTTGGATGCATCCCATCGCCAGTATCAGGAGAAGGTAATTATCTCTGACAAGACTCTAAATATGACCTTTTATGTTTCCTTGAACAGGTTAGGGTAGGTCTATGGGCTGTACAAAACATTTTCATAAATTATTTTTGCACATAGTCAGTCTTACATTTACTCTGATCAAGGCTGAGTATTTTGAGTTCGTTTCAGAATGAGCTGGGTTTTTTTTGTGGCTCTTGTCACTTTAAATCCAAATAAGCTGCTAATTTAATTATACAACCGTCTCTGAACATTATAGACATATTTTCTGAATGGTAAGTAAACAATAAAACACTTGTCTGTTTCAGTGTTTTATTGTTTGAGAGGTAAAATCTGCCGACCGAACATTCTGGAGCTCAACTTGCGTTGCTAGGTGACGGGCTGCGCTTTGCAGTGGTTGCTAGGTAACGGCGCAGCGCCCATTGTTTGTCACTTAACAATCGGGAGTTTTTAGAAACGGCTCATTTTCCAGACCCGAAAAAACATTAATTTATTAGCCAAAAAAACGACACGTATTTTCTAAGCGTTTCTAGGAGAAGTTAAAAAAAAGTATAAAAACTTGCAAAATATAAATTTAGCATAATAGGTCTCTTGTAAAGGTTTAAGACTAAAACCTTTTGGCTACACAGTCTAATGTTTAGTGGATAATATGTTCCAGGAGCGTCACATGGACACTAATGTGCCTCTGGCTTTGAGTTTTAATATCGCAGTCATGTTTCAGATCAGAGGCTTGCTTACTTATTCAAACTTTGCTCAGAGAGACAGCGCTACATATAACATGTTTACTATCTAATGGATTTTCACTGTGACCTTTCACTGGGGATTTTCACATGATAAAGCTGAGCAGATGATGACAAATGGCAGCACCTCTACTGACAGCAGACAGTGATCACAAATGAGTTTGTAATCCACTTAGAATGGGAGACAAAAAAAACTACACAAAACAAATGGAATAATTTTAATTACGGTGATGTAATTCAGCAAACACATGGCAGGAAACGGGACTCACAACACCTGAGAGAAGCGCCACAGAACTTTGACTGCGTCCTCATGAAGGTCGAGTCACAAAACATTTCATGTGATTTTTGCAGTACAAGCAAGTGGAGCAGTATATGTCGTTTCATAAACTGCCGGCCGATGTGCGGCAGAGGATTCATGACTACTATGAGCACCGATTCCAAGGCAAGATGTTTGATGAAGACAGCATACTGGGAGAACTCAGCGACCCACTGAAGGAGGTGGGTTATTCTTCAATCAAAGAAAGAACTTTGATTGTTCTCTCTTTTAATTCCAAGAGTTATTAATGAGAGCAGATTGTGGTTAGAATTTAAGGTGCAGACAGAGAATCTGCATGAAGTGCCAGGAGTTTAAGTGTCATAATTATTGTATCATTGCCAAAACGTTTATGTAATACTTCATATAAGATCCACCCAAGTAAAGTCAATTAGCAGAACTTGACTGAAAGCAGAGGAGGGAACTTAACTATTTCAATCAGGTGTGTTGAAACAGAATCATATCTAAAAGTTGCAAAACTTGAACCCTTGAAGACTGGAGTTTGGCACCTTACATGAGTTAATATTCATACATTTTATCAACAGTCTTCAACATGCACAGAAGAAAACTAAAAATGTGTTTTCCACTTGGTTTACTTCTGTCCATTTTGTCTCCGTCATGCAGGAGATTGTCAGCTATAACTGCCGTGGACTTGTCGCCAACATGCCGCTCTTTGCCAACACCGACCCTCACTTTGTCACCGTGATCCTGACCAAGCTGCGCTTTGAAGTTTTCCAGCCGGGAGACTATGTAATACGAGAGGGAACGCTGGGTCGGAAAATGTATTTCATCCAGCATGGCACCGTCACGATTATCCCGCGTGGCAGTAAGGAGTTAGTGCTCAGTGATGGAGCCTACTTTGGAGGTAAATACAGCGGAGTATTAAAACTCTATTCAGCTACTTATCAACTCTACGAGAGTCTTCATTATTCAGATTATTGCTGCCCTTCTTCTATAAAATCTCCCACAGAACCCTTGGTTGTAACTGCACTACATTTTCCAACTAATATTTACTATTTATTCTGAATTTCTAATGGTAAATGTAATTTTTCATCATTGGCTTGATGTCATTTTGAAGAAAAAACTAACATTTATGAAATATTACACTCTGTAAAAACAAAGAAGATAATGTATTAGTTGCTTGATTATAATTATACTGTAAATAAGTTTATTTACAGTATTTGTCTTGCACTGTAAAAAAAATCTTACCATGAATTTTTATTGAGCAAACAATAAAAATTCACTTGAAATAAGACAAAACTAATTTACAAATAGCATTTCTGTGAGAAGGAGTTTGTTTTAAGTCAATTATTTCTTAATATAAGTATCAAGTACCAGTTCCACTGGCATATTATTTTACTTATTACAAGACATATTTACAATACAATAAGTAAAATAATCAGCCTGTGAAACCAGTACATTTTTAAGTCAACATTAGGCAATTATGGACTTAAAACTAGCTCCAATATCTTGTTGAAAAGTTACTTCAAGTGCACTAAAATATTTGGACTAGAAACTAAACCAAAAATATTTAGAAAGATTTTGAGTTTTTCTTCTAACTTTGACTAAACCAATTCTTTTTCTTGGCTCAGAGATCTGCCTACTAACTCAGGGCCGACGGACGGCCAGCGTGAGGGCCGACACCTACTGTCGCCTTTATTCGCTGAGTGTGGACGACTTCAACGAAGTCCTGGAGGAGCATCCTCTGATGAGGCGGGCGTTTGAGAGCGTGGCTGTGGAGCGACTGGATCGAGTTTCACGCAGATCCAGTTATCAGCCTCCAACGACTGAGTCTGAGTGAAGGAAGAAGAAAGAGAAAGAGACTCCCGCCAGACACACAAAGCACTTTTTAACAGATCTAAAGAAAATAAAAAAATACAGATGTTGCTGAATGCTGCATCACTTGATTGAAACTATTCCACATTCATTAATTAGAAATTGTCACTTGAATATTAAAACTCAACATGTTTACGTGGATTTTATTGATGTTCACAAACTGAGTAAACCTTTGTCAGTGCTTTTTCCAGTTTTTTCTTCTGTATAACTGAGAGTTATAGATCCACATGTTTTTTTTTAAACAAGTTATAGACTGTTAGCCATATAAATCAGGTGTTCAAGCAGAAACACATAAAAATATAAATCCACTGGACCTCATGGACTGGATTTCTGTTTGCCCAGCACTGGGATGGGGGCAGCAGATGGTGGTGCATCATGAAGCTTTCTGATTCAAATGATCCCTAAGATCTGTATGTTGTGTCACATGGAGGTTAATACCGATGGCCGATAAGCTCCAGTGATGTAATAACTCAACTGTGAACGCAGCTGCAGGTGGTGGTGAACTTTTACATCACCTATTTTTCTCATTTGTCATTGTCAGGATTTATAGTTACACTGGGTTTCAAAGAATAATGTCTTTTTAAATTTTAAATGATCAGACGCACAAATAAATAAATAAATGAATAAAACTCTCAGTATGCTTATACTTTACCAGATTGAATCACTTAAATTCTGCTGATATATGATTCTTGTCAAGCACTTTTCACCAGGAAGAGAGGCAAAGGCAGGCGGAGAAAAGGTAAAACTGAGTTTGTTTGCATTTTTTCTCATCAACTGCCTCTTGTTTTACATGCTTAAGATCCTTTTTGTTTCTAAAGTGTTTCGGTCAAAACAGGTCTTTAATAGAGTGGTGGTAATAATTTAAATTGTATAAAATTAAAATTTGAGGGACAAATTGCTTTGCATGTTTGTAGAGCTGTAATTAGACCTTCTCTGACTGGGCTTCTGCCAAAATGTTTATATTTTGCTTGTACTGATTATGCAGAGTAAATATGAATATTTCTGACCCTGAGACATAGTGAGTTTTCCAAAGCAGCTGTCATAGAACGGCAAAGAACATTAGATCATATTTGTACACATTGCATTGCTTTTTTAATTTAAAGAAGCATTTATCTACATTTCCAAAACACTC